GAATTACAAGCACACACTACAACACCTGGCTGGATCTGGGGATCAAACTCAAGTCTTCCATGTTTGCACAACAAGCACTATCTCCTCAGCCATGTTTCTTTAAAAATAGCTCTGATGTTCACTACTTGAGAGAGGGGTGGGAGGAGACTTCTCTGGGATAAGGGTTCTCCATGTACAGAAAGGCACAACCTTTGTGGGGATAGAGGGTCATGACTTGATACTCTTTGTTGGGGGGCTGGGAAGCTCTGGATCATTCTATGGCTTGGCATGAGTTATGCACACACAACCACTGTGAGTACCTATGTGTTCTTGTACTGCTGTGTCCTGAAAGCACCATTTCCTTGTAGTCATCTGCTATTGGCAGCTCTTTTTTTTTAAATATTTATTTATTTAGTATACAATATTCTGTCTGTGTGTATGCCTGCAGGCCCGAAGAGGGCACCAGACCCCATTACAGATGGTTGTGAGCCACCATGTGGTTGCTGGGAATTGAACTAGGGACCTTTGGAAGAGCAGTCAGTGCTCTTAACCACTGAGCCATCTCTCCAGCCCCCTATTGGCGGCTCTTACAATCTTTCTGCCCTCTATTTTGCAAGGATCCCTGAGCTTTGGAGAAGGTGTGTGATATAGGATTAAGCACTTTGTAGTTTCTTATTCTCTGAATGTTGTTCAGCTGTGGTTCTGTTAATCACCATCTACTACAAAAAAAAATGTTCTCTAATGAAAGCTGAGAGATGCACCAATCTATGTGTTTGATGGGAAATCATTAGTCAGTACTAGGCACATTTAGCAGAGTAATATTATCAGGCTCTCCCTTAGGGTTTATAACTTGTCTAGCTACATGTGGATTTTTGACTCCATGTGGATTTCAACATATAGAGTGGACCTTAAATCCGATCTGAAAGTGGTTGGCTACTCTTATGACATTCATACTACTTTTGTACCAGTGGGCGTGTCTTGGCTAGCCAGTCATTATGATAGCTTACAAGGTTTCTAGATGGGGTAAGACTGGTGATTGCTTTTCACCTCTGGTAGTGTGTACAGAGATTCCACTATAAAGCCAGTGGGAATGAAGCTTCTGGGCGAATACCAACTTGATTTCTCTGTGTTCTACAACTTATGTAAGCTTTGTCTTAAGCAATAGGGTCTTAGGTCAACTCTTGGAGGGTAACCAAGAGCACTGGCAATAGCCTGTAGTGTTAGGGTTCTATGGGACCTCATTGGCCAATGACTTCCCAAAGAGGTAACCCATTCCTGGTTCTGCATTTTATATTTGTTAGTCTGTGGTGTCTGGTGGGATATTGTTATTCTGCTGTGGATATCAGAGGGTGGCCTGACTCTCTTTTGTTCTATAGGAGAGAAACAGAGAGGCTCACATAGAAAAAGGAACATATCTAAGGCTACACATGCAGAACCCAGAGCAGATGACCTTCCAGGCCAGGCATGTCTTTGAACTTGTCTCATCTCTGCCGTTATACTCACCAGGTGTCCTCCTGGCTCTCCACACTAGCTGGGTAACACTGGGCTGGTGTTTTTTTTTATCTCTCCCAGTTTCATCTAGAAAATGAGGCAGCCCCTCCTAGTGGTTCAGAAACATCACCCTCCAAGGGTGATACTCTTAGCCAGACTTGGGCCCAGAATCCCTCCAAAAGGAGAGGTGGCTAGCTCAGAACCAGGAAAGAATATCCACAGACCCCCACATTCTTAAGTGGCTTGTCTTCCTGGGCACACACATTTCTGGGATGGGGGCCCCAGCCCCCCACAGTAGCATAATCACAATGTCCTTTCTTAGGTGCCACCCTATTCTGTTTCCCTGTCTAGGCCAGCTCTGCTAGAAGGGCACTTAAACTGGGGGATTCTTTGGCCTCTCCTACGGAAGGCCTCAGAGACAGAAAGCTTGTCTAATTCCCTCTCTTGGTCACAGTTGTCTCCTCCCCAGAACAGGGCAGATCCCACAGACTGCTGGGAGCAGGAGCTGTTGTCCCATGTGACCACAGGCCCTGGGGGAGCTTGGAGCTTAGAGTTTCCTGTGAACCTTGGGGCCCCATGTTGAGAAAGGGGAGCGTGGAGACCATCTTAGAATGATGGATAAATAACCAGAGTCTCAGGGTTACTGTCCAGAGCTGACATGGGAGGGGCCAGAGACCTGGGAAATGGTGACAATGGGGCTTCCTGCTGTTGCTGGTGTGTACAGGCTCAGATGCAGACTTCATTTAGAGGAACAAGATTCTTCCTCACTGTGCTCCAAGCAGTTCATTCTCTCTCTCTCTCTCTTTCCCTGCCTCTCTCTCTCTCTGTCTCTCTCTCTCAACATAGTCTCCTGCAATCCAGGATGACCTCGATCTACGTAGCTGATGATGACCTTGAACTCTCTAATCCTCCCTCCACCTCCCAAATTCTGGGATTATAGGTGTGCTTGCCAGGCGGCTCGCTCACCACCTCAGTTGTCAGGGACCTTTCACACCATACCCAGGGCCTCACTTCTCAAAGTGGAGAAAGCTAGCGTCTCCTGGTTCAGCCAGAGAAATTGAAGATCACAGGGTGACCCAGTGAGGGAGGACAGGGCAAGGGTGGAACCAGGGGCCTCCTCTCTCTCCAGAAGTCTGCTTCTCAGTTTGCCATGCTGCCTTGGCTTCAGAGATTAAGGGGATTAGCTAAATCCTGGCACTCGAGCTGGGTTTATCAGAGGCGCCACTCTGGGGGCCTTGGGGTGCCTTGGCATCCTATACCTCCGGGTCTGTCTCAGTGGCTTGGGACACTTGACTCCTACCTTGGCTCATAGCCCACAGGTCTGATTCATGCTGATGGGGCTGAGTGGTGAGGACCTGGGATGAGGTGGGCAGGAGGCACCTTAGGGACCACCTTTGGCTTCTGACAGAGACTTTTCCCAAAATAAGTTGATCTCTGTGCCTTGCTGGGCACACCAGGTGCACCGGGACCTGTATCTTCTGCCCTAGGGCCATTAGTCTTGGCAGATGATAGGGAGTGATTCAGAGGGTGACAAATCAGCAGGTTTGGCAGGGCTGAGGGCAGTGCTGGGTGCTTCTCACAGGTGTAGTGGGAATCGCATTTGCAGAGGGTCTGCCAGCCATGACCTGTGTCCTCCCATTGTGGGAGGGGTCAAAGCACTCTTCTCCAGGGTAGAGCAGGCAAAGCCACTGTCATCCCCATGCACAATTGCCCCGGAATCTTCTGTAACTATGAGTGGCTATGGAAGTGTCCCCAGGTACCCCAGGCCAGGGCAGGGCCCAGCTGACTGATACCTGCACCTCAACTCTCTGGACCCTGACAAGTGCCTCGTCAGGATGTGAGCACACAGTGAATTATGCTTCTTTGTGGATCATGTGAGTGTCTCAGAGCATGAACTTGAACCCCAGGAGGGTGGAAACCAAGGTGAGCCAAATGCAGGAGTGACAAGCAGCAGGAATTGATCCATGGGATATGTCCCCGAGGGTAAAGACCCCGCTTGCGACAGTCCTGAATGTCTAAGACAGCCAGGACTCAACCTGCCAAGAAAAGCGCAGAGTACATATGGAGAAAGAGGTGACCCTCACTAGAAGATGCTGAAAATCCAGTGAGCAGTGCTGCAAGCCAACACTGTTTTGTCTGGAAAGGGCACAAGGGGACAGCCAAGAAGATGCTAGAAGGATTGGGCTGCTCACTAGAGCACGGGTGGGACACATTTCTAGGTGACAGCCGCTCAGAGTGGGGTGTTTGTCGTACAAGAGCAGTTTACACAGGCTGAGGCTGTAGCTCAGTTATTAGAGTGCTTGCCCAGCACACACACACACACACACACACACACACACACACACACACACACAGCTCTGGGTTCTATTCCCAGAACCACATAAACCAGGAGTGCCTGTAACCTCAGAACTCAAGAGACAGCACTAAGGGCATCAGAACTTCTTGCCTCAGGAAAACACAGAAGAGTCAGAGAAACGTTCCACAAAGTTTGGCTTCTAGGCTGACTGCTGGGCAGGGCAGTGGGAGTTGAGTTTTCTCTAGAAGCCCCTTCCACTGTGGAGACCCAAAGGGCCCCAAAGCTGGTGCTGGAGGAACCAGATTGTCTGGAGGTCTGGGACATGACCCAAGGGCAGATTCTACAGCAGGGCAGGGCTGCCCAGGGCGCCTTCCCTGGAGACAAACCCATTTCCGGTTTCTTTACCCTTCCAATGCCCAGTTGGGCCCTTGCAGCCTTTTCCTCCCTGTCCTTGCCCGCAGGCTCCAGTTGCCATGGCTCCTATCCTGCTGAGGCCCTGTTCTATCTAGGACAGGGTCCTTCTGAGAGAATCACTGTAGCCAGAAGTTGATGGTAATTTCAGTGACCACCTAGCATCTGCTGTGTGCTGTGGTGCGGGCTGGGACTCGTATGGCCCGAGCTACAGTTGACAGCAATAGCAGGCACTGATTCTAGTACTTCTGTGTGCTCTCAAGTAAATATTAGCACAGGCGCAGATTAAACAGCCATGGCAAGGATATGGGCAAAATATGGAGCCTGAGGTTCAGGTGGATGTGTACCTGGAAAAAGTGAGGTTCAGAGTGGGTATGTATTTTACCCAGCATTTCACAGCAAATAGTTTAAAAGATGTTGAAACACCACAGGGTGGGCAGAGTTGGGACTGCTCATCTGTTACTATGTTGTAATAGCCTTCCTTCATACTGTTCCTATTGTACAGATGTGGAGACTGAGGCCCTAGGAGGGTGGGCTCTTGTTGAAGGTAACCCATAGAGGGAGACAGAGGTCTATTTGAGTCTAGAGAAGTGTCTTTGTGCAGGAGTTAGATTGCTTAGGGTGTGTTCCAGGGACTGCCATTTGCTGGCTGTGAATTCTCATAAGTCACCTGATTACTCAGAGCTGTCATTGTCCTCCGATGTGGAAAGGGGACAGTTGGGACTGTTAGGAAGATACCCAGATGCCTGGCAGGCAGTGACCCACGGTGTTCCCAAGCCAGTCTACTGTACTACATCATGGCTCAAAGACACTCAGACTTGGCTGGGACCAAAGGAGATACTTTACTGTCTAGGACAGCGGTCCTAGGTGCGAGTCTCTGGGAGGGGTAACGGAGCCGTGCACACGCACACGGTACAGGCAGGTGAAGCGGGGGTTCCCCCAGTTGCTGGAGATCTTCACTTTGACTGCAGCAAAGCCCCTGGGCGGCTGGTTCTGGAACAGAGACAGACAGTGGTAGCTCCCCCATAGGCCTCTGCTCCACCCGGCAGAAGAGCCTTGGAAGAAGGGAACTTTCCCATTTTACAGGTGTGACAATGGAGTTCGAGAGGGGAATGGACTCAGCACTTGGGGGCTAGGATGGAAGGTGCTGAGGCCAGAAGCACAGACTCAGCGCCGTAGGGAAGATGCTCAGTCATGGAACTTGGCAGTATGATGCTGTGGGGTCCTCACCAAGCTACTGTGCCTCTCTAGGCCTCAGTTTCTAATAGTTATTCTCCAGGATTACTGTGGACATGAAAGGAGCTCTTGACTCATCAGCGCCTGCCATGTCATGGCTTCTCTGCAAACTTAGCCCCTCCGTTCCCAGTGCCTACAGTGGTTGGAGATGATGCCTATCAAGCCCCCTGCCCACTGTGGAAAAGGCAAAGCAGGACTGGTGGCTCAGGCCATTAATCCCAACTGCTAGTGAGGCCAGCCTGAGCCACATAGTGAGATTCTGTCTCAAAGTTAAAAAAGAGGGTTGGGGATGTAGTTGAGCGGCAGAACACTTGTGAGACCCTAGGTTCACCACTCAGTTCAGCTATAAAACTCAAACTAACACTCAGTACGTGTTTTAGCCTCCTAGGGATTTGCAGAAGAGATCCTGAAGCCTGGAGCCCAGGTCTGATGAGGTTTAGATTTGGATCAGCAAATCCCAAACTTGGACAGTCACATTGCCAGCTCATCCAGTCCTGCTTCTGTCTGTCCCCAACTTCCTCCTCTCCAGGCCTCAGTTTCCTCTCTTATAGCCAGATCAGGTGCCGACTAGGGGCTCCTAGCATAGAGGCTTTAAGTTTGGAGCCAGGAGTCATACTTGATGGGCACTTTGTGTTCAGCATTTGTTATCCAGGAAAAAGATGCAGCAAGAGACTTCCTGGGGAAGACTAACCGGAGCCAGAGGGCTCCCCTTGGGTGCTACTCGGGGCCCCAGGCAGCAGCTCCATGTCTCTTCAGTCTCCTCATGTGTCAAGTGGGCTAGCATGACTATGCACCTCTCAGGGCTGTAGGGGACCGGGGAGAGCTGCACATGGGGTACACTCTGCAGATGCCCTTTTGTGGTTTCCCCAGGTACCTGGAGTGGGAACATCTGGATGGTGTTTTCTGGCTGAAACTGGAATGCCCCCAGGAACACTTCCTCCCTGGGGGGGCTCTCCATGCCCTGTGGAAGCAGATAATGAGGTGTGAAATCCAGCAGGCTAAGACTTGCGCAACTCCTGGGGTTGGGGAGGGGTCTCCTCATCAATGCAGGCAGTGTTACAGCCTGGTGTCTGGGACAGGAAGGAACACTGCATGAGGAGTCAGACGCTGAGGTCTACTTCCAGCTTCTGTAAAGTAAGGGTCAGGTTGCTTCTGAGTCCTTCTCTGGATTCTACTGATAACTCTATGGGCTGGCTCAGCAAGAATAAAGCCCAATGGTCTCTCTCAACTCAGGGAAGCCTTGAGTGAATTAGACAGGTGTCCCTGTTGGTCCTGGAAGACTGAGACGTGCCCCACTCTGGCCATTCCCAACCTAGCTAAGCCACATCCCCTCGGCTATGTGGATGGGTTCTCTCAAGGTTTGGACTACCACCTTCCAAGGTGGTCCCTTCAGCCCAGCCTGGCCCTCTGTCGTGTGCTCACATAGATGACAAAGTCCTTCGGCGCGGTGTCCAGGCTACCCGACAGTGAGATGGTCTTAGGGATGTGCTGCAGTGTAAGATTGGACAGGTAGACTTTCTGGGCCAAACGGATGGTCACCTGGCCACGGTCGCCAGCGAAGGCCCAGCAGTTGCCAGGTGTCACGTTGGGCTGGAAGAGGCAGGTGTGAGGGGCCTGGGTTGGATGGATGGAATCCCTCTTTCCCTACTCCTAGCATTTCCTTGACCTCCTGAAGGTGACCATCCTCTCTGCCTACAGAGCTTGGCTCGAGCAGTTCAGGGAGAGCAGGGCCTGCTTGGGTCCTCCCAGTCCTGTTCTCCGGTCCTGCCCATCTGTCCATTCACTTCCTCATCCAGCCATCCCACACTCCCAACATTCTTTGCATGCTTTTTCCACTGTCACCCTGGGGCTCAGACATGAACGTGTTCTCCCTATGCAGAGGAGGAAACTGAGGCTCAGAGCAGGGAAGTGAATGGCCCAGGATTGTCAGAGCTGTAAGTGTAACCTGACAATTGGGCCCTGGAACTGGCTTGCTGGTAACCACCATGGTCTGACCCATAAAATGACACCTAGAAGCCCAGGATGGAAAGAGGGTTGGCCTCACAGCACACAGGGAAGCTGCTCATCCAGTAGGTGCTGGGCTTTTTGAAGACACAGTATGCTCCATCCTAATCTGGAGCTGTGGGGTTAGGTTGGGGGAGGGGAATCTAGGAAGGATTCCTGCAGGAGCTGGGACAAGGGAGAGGCATGCCAACCCAAGGGAAGTCAAGTATGTCTGGTGGCTTGGGACACTGGTGCTGGTTAGCCAGGCTTGGAGGTGCAGAAGCCTGGGTGGCAGAGACTTTGCCCCAGACCTGACCGAAGCCAGTGTTTTGCAGCCAGATTTGGCTCCTCTATTGCCTGGGCTGCACCACCTGTCTCCCTGGTCAGTGCTTGCTATGTTCTGTGGTTCCTTCCCCATGTCCCAGGTCCTCACTAGCAACTCATTGCACAATGGACCTTCTGTCTCCATCCACCCCAACAGGAGGCTTCTCTACCCCTGGGAGGCCACTGTCCTAAGTGGACTCTGAGAGTTCCTTCAGGGTGAGACCCATAGACAGGTGGCCTGTGGTTGTGGTGCTGCCCCAAGCTGATGAGATCTCAGTGGTTTGTAGTTGCTCTTGGACTTGGACAGGCCCATTTCCCTCTCTGGGCTTCAGGTCCCCCATCTGTAAGGCAGAATTTTCAGAGGGCTGAGTGTTTGAATGTTGACTCTGTTTCATACCGCATGAGCAAGTGATCTGGCTTCTTTGCAAAGGAAGTACATCTCGTGTCCCCTACCCCCAAGATGGCTCGAGAGTTCTCAAACCCCAGAGTGTCAGGACTGGGTGGGGGTCACTGTGTCCTCCTGCCAGAAGCCTCCCTGTGACTCCATTCTTGTCCTCCCCCCCCCCACAGCGTTCATCATGTCCCTTGCCCCCTCCCTTGTCTTTGCCTCATCTCTCCTTCCTGC